ATATGCAAGCACCACACCGGCTGCACTAGGCCGGTTGAAGCAGTTTGACTCACCTCCTGCACCGCGTCGGATGGTATACTAGGACGGATAACCAGATAAGTGAAACTAAACCTGAAACATAGGCCCATTGACCGCGCCCCTCGGCCCATCTCCACTTCACCCGAACTAGGCACCCCAGACACAAACCCTAGCCCACAGACCAACAAGGGAAGACCCACAACAGATGCCAGAGGAGGGAAATTAACCTCCCCCAAATTCGGGGGCAGCGCCACCATCACCACCGCCCTCCCTTCCTCGCTCATCTCTGCTCCACCCGCACCATGCATGGCTCCACAAGAAGTAACCGCCCCTAGGAGGTTGAGGATGCAAAATAGCATTGAGCCAAATCCACACCCTCGCTTCTGTCAACACATTGTGCCAACCCGCACAACCCATTTTCCACCTCCGTGGGTAAGACCAACCCAAACCCTTGCCAGAGCTGCCACCATCGAATGCCCTAGATATCACCTTGGCTCAACTCTTCCGACACCACTGACACCACGCCAACGTTCGTGGCCAGGACCCCATCCGACTCCGAGATATAATGAGCAGCGCTCCCTACCAAACATCACCTAGTTGTTGCGTCCGCCACAACACTAGCACGGCAAGGCGGCGTCTCCCTCCCTCCTGCGGTGGCCAAGCTCAAATCAACATCCGGCCGCAAATCTTCCTCCATCCAAGACACTAGCCACCGCCCAAAAAACGGCTAACTCGTGGCTCCGTCCCACATGTCTCCCCGCGGGTGGCCTTCCCAGGTCCGGCACACCCTCCCCACCATCACCACACGGGAACACTGCCAAGGGAGCACCTTTCCCGGGGTCACCAGTCGCGTCATCACGGAGTCACAATAGCACGCGTTCGCAACGGTCAAAATCTCCTCTCCTCTACAACAAGAGCTCAAAAGCAAAAACTTTCTTGAAGCCGTGAACAAGCAATTAAAGCTGCTATATATAGCTGGCTGGCAGTAAACAGTAGTCGCTCCATTTTCATTTGCTCTACATATTAGCTTTGCCTCAAGTCAAACTTTGTGAACTTTGATCAAATTTATACAAACAATTATTAATCCAGAATACCAAATCAATAGCATTAGAATTAACATTGAATATATATTTATTAATGTGAAAGTTTATATTATTTTCTATAAACTTGGTCGAACCTTATAAAGTTTGACTTTGGTCAAAGCTAATGTGCGGAGCAAATAAAAAAGGAGGGAGTATTACAGATATGTGAACAGCTTCTGGTGGGCAGACCCAAGGCAAAAGCTCTTCTACACCTAACAATGTTTGCTGCTCACCGTTTCATTTGGGTGCATCAGTCCTCTCTTTCGAATCAGGCACTGGCTTGATTGAATCCCGCGTTGCTGGAACTGGTGCACCGCTTTCTTGTTCCTCCAAATCTAAGCACGATCCATTTTCTCCGCTACCTCCTTGCTTGCAGAGAGCTACTTGCTCTATTCTCTTCCCCCAGAGAACATTGTACAGGCCAGCAACCATGAGCGCGCCACTTATTACACTGTTCATCAGTAGAAGAAAAAATGAAGATATTTTTGGGTGTAGTACTTCTGTCTAACAAGCAAACATTAAGAAATGCACCTTCCAAGGCTGACCGGTTCTCCTATGAGTAGTGACAGAATGACCGTGATAACCAAAGTTAGGGGTACTGTCATGGACAGGAATACTGGGCCGCACCTGCCGATTACCCAGATTTGCAGGTAATTTACCAGTGCGGAAACAAATACGCCCTACAAATGAAGTAATTCACAGAGATTAGGATTTTTGTTCTCTAATGAATCAACGATTTGCTGCCACCGAGGGGATTTTTATACTTACACAATAGACGATGGCGACAAGACCTACATCCAAGCTCAGCTTCCATCTTGAAAAGTCTCTCTCCATGGCTAGAGCCATAAAAAAAGATTGAACAGTCGCAAAGACAATCTGAAGGCTAGTGTTAAGCAGTATGGATGGATACTCCTCCAGCAATGGGCCCTAGAAAGCAACATACAGGCTAAATTTAGGATGGATAAATTAGCATCACAACATGCCCACACACACTTCATTGTGTAACCTGTGCACACAGCGAGATGCATACCTGAAACACTGTCCAAAGAGCAAACAATACAGTCGCAAGAGACTGCAGGAGAATTCCCAATATCCAGCTCCTTGAGGGATGAGTATCAACTTGACTAGCGTGGTGAAAAAGAGGGTAATGGACAATAGATTTGAGCTCCGGTCCTTGGTATAGCGTTAGGACAGTAACACCAGCCGCACAGAGCACTATACCAGAAACTTTCATAATCCCATGGAAGCGCTTTAATTGCAAAGACTCCATTCTACCATAAGGAGAAGAACAAATCACTCCCTATTACATGGAATTTTTATCATAAAAGTTCACACTGTATATACAGCAAGTCAAACTAATTTTCAGTCCCACTATCTTTACTACACCATATTCATCAATGCACTCACATATACACTAAAGTACATATGTTTAGACTACTAAATACTAATGGTAATGATCAGAGTTGGTGGCCGTGCGTTCACTTCTTAAGTTATTAGTAATTACCACAGCTGTCACCCAGTCAAAAAAAATTACCACAGCTGTCATCCTTTTTTAAGAGGATGTACAAATGGTTGATTCGATTTATAGGGCGTATTTTTTAGATCATGTTTCTAAAGTATGTACGAACGCACGGACTGTCTGGCACAAGCATTTTAACCACTGTGATATATAACAGGAAATAACTTCCGTAGCAGCACGAGCATTTAGATCATAATTTTTACTAAATTCGAAGAAGTGCAATAAACAAATTTCACAATGGTACTCAATTAGTGCGGACAAAAAAATTGGTACACCCTAATAAGTTAGGGCTGTTGGTCAAATGTCAGATGAACATAACCAATAGGAACTGATTAGCACTCCTACTATATATTATTAATTATAAATCACTGTACTATTTTATGGCAGAAAAAATAATGAGAGAGAAAGTTACCACTCAAAGGTGTTATCTCCACCCTTTACAACACTTATAGGTGATACTTCCAATCGTTCCACACATAACTCAGCTAGTGATATCATCTGCTCCCACTCGCACTTAGTTTGATGACATATTTAAATTGTACTCCCTCCGTCTCATAATATAAGACATTTTTGCAAGCTAGCATAGCTTGTAAAAACATCTTATATTGTGGGACGGAAGGAGTATTTACCACAGGGCAAAGAAAAAACTAGCCTTAGGAAGGAATTCAGTTATCATTAATAACACATACCCCAACAGAAGAGCCAAAATAAAAGTTAAAACTGGCAGGAGATTTATTACTGCAGAAGCAGAAGCTGCTGAAGCATATTTGAGGCCAACACATGATATGTTAAAAGGAGCGGACATCCTGGGGAAATGAAACAAGAGTATAAGATGTATAACATTAATAAAACAAATGAATCAGTTTAACTAAGAAATACTAAATGGTCTATTGTACAATGGAAAAAAGATGGTATGGTTAATACAATAACTATTTCCATAATTCTTAGCTTTGCACAACACTTCCGTAGAAAGTTGATCAGTTAACCTAAGAAAATACCTACTTTCCCCACAAAGATGAACAACAATTTTTGCAATTAGTGTAACAATTGGAAATATATATTAAAACTGGTAAAACTGATATTCTCTGCCGGAAAGGACAGATTGCCATTGATGAAGGTGATGAATGCATTGAATAAGCGAAGAAGCACGAAGCAGAGCTTTCTTCAGAGTTAGCAACGGTAGTTCGGATAGCAAAGCACCAGCAAGCGGATAAGGCTACTACACTAAAACCAAAATGACCGAGCAAGGAATTAATGAAATAAAGGGAATTTGTATATTGCAAGGGCACACAAAAGAGTTTCAAGCATATAAAGTTTGGATAAGAACAAATATAATGATACAGTTATGGTATTGGATAGATATCTAACAACTGCATGTCACCATTCTCGCATTAATACTCTCATCCCAATAAAATACAAAAATTATGAGAAAATAATGCACTGCTGCAAATAATATTTTTAATCTAACAGTGCCATTTGATAAACAAGAATAACAAAAGTATAAAAACATTTCTGGCTTGTAACTTTGACCTACCCATATAATGCATGCACAAATAGCTTCACACAGAGTTTGTATGACATTTGTGGGGCAGTTTTCCTGCAAAATAAATCTCAGTGCATGCTTCCTAGATGACATCTAGAACTAGGTAACTAAGAAGCCAAAACTTGGCATACCTTTCAATCGCAAAAGCAATGGGCAGTAAGAACATTGTGGCTATGGCATGCCTGTAGAAATTAAGAACATATGTACTTGTACCTTGGTTAAAAGCAGCCTTGGTAAGTATATGCATAACTCCATAGATAAACCTTAAGAGAAATGAAACAACATAAGGTGCTGTGTTGCCCATTACTATCGTTTGTTAGAACTTCAAAGATGATTGCTTATATACCACTACTTGCCCTTCAAGACACGTCAAACATTCGGCATCAGGATAATTAATCAAACCCTCACTGTCATAAGGTTAGTTCAGATACGACTCATAATCCACTTGAGCAAAATATATTTTATGTATGCTTTACTATGTACATACCACACAAGTCACTCACTTTAATCAAGGTTAAAAAATGGCATCAAACTCTTTTTAGGTCTAACAAGTTGGTTACATCATACCAGCAGAGCATATATTTCAACAAATTAGGTATATCAGTCACAAGGTGCTTGTGTACTTATTAGAATGCATGATGCATCCACTCAAAGCATATAATGGCATTTATTTGAATAATCCAGCACTTGAACATTATTATGACACGAATGGAAAGTCATGTATACTGGTAGTAGTATTCATCTCAGGTTGTTCATCTCTCTAGAGAAAATGAAGTAGGAACTTCTAAGTACTTCAGTTACAGTTCAAAACTAAAGCATATGCATATTTGTAAAGGAGAAAGGATTCAACAGTTCCAGCTTGCAATCTCAAGGTGACTCGAATGCTTTTTGGACATTCCCTGAAAAAATTATACTCGGTGACTAATGCTCAGTGAGTCATTTCACATTGTATATTTCTATAGATATTATTATATTTGAGAGAGATCTTTTAGTAGACACATTATACAAATGCATCTTTGGAGGGATCAGTGGCAAAAGTGACACATGATGTGGAAAAGGAAGAGGACAGTAGTAAATACATGCATCTTTATGAAGGGTGGAGTGATTAGTGGCATAAGTGGCACATGATGCTGAAAAGGAAAAAGGCAGCAGCTAAGGACCAGTAAAATTGTCATAGGAGAAGTTGCATTAGTGTCTACCAACAAAAGGGCCCGTGCATTGCAACGGGAGAAAAAAAATCATAATCTCCAAAGGCCATGACAACAATTTTCTGCGTCACAGATAAAATTTCGGCGAACATTTTGTTCAATTTCAACAACATTTTTTAATACATGGACTTTAAAAAACATGAACATTTTGCATTTCCAAACATTTGTTTTCAAAATTGTGAACATTTTTTGAATCTACAAAAACATTTATGACTTATCGAACATTTTATATAAAAATTCGTTTTTAAAATATTTGCAACTCTTTTGATGTACCAAAATATTTAAAGGATGAAAAAACGAAAACAAAAAATAAAAAAAATAAGAAAGCAAGATTTAAAAACAGGCTGCCCGCACATGGGCCGGCCCAAACGGGCGCGCTGCGTCTTCTCCAAGTGCGCATAGCGCAGTATAGGAGGCCCTATTCCGTGGGCGGGTCGGGAATTCCTATGCATGAAAAGTTTTTTCTCAATTATAGGTGGCATCGATGATAATATTTGCAACTTTGGTGTGACAATTTATGTGACGTACCGCAAAAAGCACAAATGACTTTATTATTAGATATAGATTGCCATGTAAACGGCACTAAATCTAGAACAATGCTTTCATTCTGTTTAAAGAATAAACTGCCATGCTTCTAAAAAAAATTGGTGTAGAGTAGTGGTGTCCGTATATTTAGTCTTTTAGAAGTTATGCTGTTCAAATGGAGCATTTCTTCCTGCAGCGCCTCCGGCCCTTCCCCTCCTGCTCCCGCAGGCCACCTCTCCAATCGACCTACCCCGGCCCCTCCTTTGAAGCCGTGCACGACTGGGGGGTCGATCCCTCCTACCGCCGGATGCGGCTTGCCTGCTTCCTCCCCATGCTTCCATCCGTGCTTCCACTTCATCTTACGACTGTCTTTTTTTCCTTTTCTTTTTTTAATCTAATCATCTCCCCTCTGATTTTAAGGGGGATGGGGCCGGGCCTTATTTTGTTCCAATCAAATCAAGCCATGTACGCGGGAGCACGGATGGGCACACGCGGGGGAGCAGGGAAGTCTCGTCCCCTACCGCCATCCATACTCGCTGCTACATGAGGACGGCATCGGGCAAGCCTGAGGAGCAGCCAGGATTGCGGCGGCGGGGACTAGGATGCTCCTAATGCGCCAGAGACTCTGAGTGCGGAGTTCGACAGTGGGTTTACTCCTAATGCGCCAAACCCACTTCCGTTAAATTCCCCCTTTTGTTATTACTTTCTCGTTGTGAACTTTTTTCGCGGTCCAAAACATCTAGCCTTGACGTGGAACAAAATGGTACTACAATGAATTCCTTAAGCAGTGTTGGTATGCATGCAAAATGATGCGGTGAATTGGTTAATTAGTATCGATACATAATTCCCCCATTTTGACGCATTTTTCTGAATGTAATACACATCAAGGAGGTCGAAATGAGTTGCGTAAGTATTGTTGATATGCAATACAAAACGATGCGGTGAATTGCTTGATTAGTACTTCATGCATGCATCGATACATATTTCCCCTATTTTTACTCGTTTTCCTGAATGCCCTGTCTGTCACACACATCAAGGATATCCAAAGCCTTTCTATCCATTATGACAGTCAGACATACAGCACCATCTTGCTGGCTCGCTGGCCTTTTTCAGGTGGACTGATTCCAGCCGCCGTAGCTCTCCTCCTCCTCCTCGTTTTCCTGGAGACGACAGAGTTGCGGTCAGATCATGGCGGCCACGACGACGATGCGGCAAGGGCAAACATGTAGGGATATGTTCGATTACCTCTGCCGGGGTGAAGGTGAGCGCGATCTTGATCTCCCCGCGGTACTCCTCGTCCTTGACGACCCGGTGCACGGCCGGCGGCAGGCTGCCCTCCTGGAGCACAGCCTCCAGCGGGATACTGAAGAAAATTCAGTTAAAGTTCAGAACCAGCAGCTGAAACGGAGCAGTACTACGGTACTACTAGCACTTGGATCCGAGAGTACAGGAGGTGTGTTGGTCTGGTACTTGCCATGCTTCTCCGACGAGGTCGTCGGCCGAGAGGGCGTCGCTGTCCATGATCTTGACCCTGAGCTCCGGAGCGTCGCCGGAGACGGCGAAGACGAAGGTCTCGTTCCACTCAGGCTCGCTCCCTGCTCCTGTAAAAAGTGAGTTCCACCAGGACGAGTGAATTTCTGACGAGACGAGATGACAGTGATTTCTTATGGACGATCTATGCATAGGTGCATATGTATACCTGATGCGACGGTGCTCTTCTGCTCGTGGCTGCGGCAGGTGAGGATCACGTACGGGTCCATGCTATCTGATCCATCAGCAGTTGAGCAATCAGATCGGAGATCTAGTGATGAAGATCAAGCAGACGCTGACGAACTAAACATTAATTCCTCAATAGGACAACATGATAATAAGGTGCTTAATTCTGACGATCGGTGCAGATCCTTCTCCCATAGATATTCAATCCTCTGCCGGGACGAAGAAGAGAACACGCACGCAGAGACAGATTCAGTAGTGACTGAATTAACCGCGGTGCAGCCACATAGGTATGCTATCTAGTACTACTACTAATTAACAGGAGCAGCAGAGATCACCATACATGCAACCAAGAAAGGGACGAAGGTCCGATGATGATCTGCATGACGACGACGCGCCGGCACCGGCGGATAGGTTCGATGGTTACTTACTGAAGAAATCGGAGTCGTCGAGGCCCTTGGCGGAGACGAGCAGCACCTCCAGCTTCCCGCGCACCATGTCTCCTCCTCCTTCTCGATCTCCTCCGGCCGGCCGGCCTAGTCTTGGATCTCTCTCTTGGTCTGGGTAAATGTCGCCTTCAATCACCAACCCACCACCGTATATAGAGGAGTGTATGCGAAGTCAAGGAAGCCTTCCACGGAATCTGTTAATTTTCGCCAGCTTGGTGCCAGACTGCATATTCTCTGGCCAGTCCTCCGGTCATTATTGAAAAAAAGAAATGGAAAGGTTTGTTGCGCCCGCGCGTCTGACCACTGGCCTAGCATGGCCAGGAACATGCACCCAAATAATGCTGACGGCAAGCTGGTTCACCAGCTTTTGCATTTGAATATACCAGACTGACTATGACTCGGTCGACTTAAGTATACTAGTTATTTCTCGATTAATAACGTACTCATCCTCATGTATAGTCATAATAAGACTAAGATTTTATTTTTTGAGGGAAGACTAAGATTTTCTTGTCATCTTTGCACCCGCACAAACTCATTGAACCGTCTTCGGCAATGGCTTAGAAATAGGTGTTTACTCTCTGTGACAGTCTGATGCGGCCGCGAAATGTGCGGGCTACTATGTGGGATCATTGGGTTAATTGGTCACAGTCTTACAGGTACAAGTCAGCGTGTTTGAAGTCAGTGTGTTTCAAGGTGCGAGAATAAAACAATAGTACTACCGTTTGGCGTTTGCCATTTGTAAGACGACATAGAAGAAGAGTGTAGAAGACCCCTCTTTACTCCGAGGAACACCACGCGAGAATAGAGGAGTCTTAGAGTAGAAACCAACCGTGAGATAGCATGATACGGTCCTGGTAGGAGCAGAGCACGGCCGGCTATAACACCCCGCCAAGTCGATCTCTACCGCTTTTTTGGGATCTTTCATGACATTTGGTCAATGAAACTTTGGGGAGGCAACACAGCTTGCTCTACAAACATCATACGATCGAATAGGTATGTGTATCTTGTGCGGTGGTTTGTTCTATACTTGCTCTCACCAACGACAAGGCGTAGTCGCGTGACCTACGTCATGGTTTTTGTGTCTTTTCTATTTTGTCAAAGTTTTAAACGGTGGCTCCATGGTGTGTTTGCAGGTCCAAACACAATGACAAACATGCCATTTGTCCTTGGAGGACGACATAGTAGAAGAGTCATTCAAATTGTCGGCAGAACATTGGGAATTAGCACAGAAGCACACTTATGCACTAGTAGAAAAGGGGACAATGGTCCAGGCAGGGCCAGCCCATTAGTCCCGGTTCAGTTCAGAACCGGGACCAATGGGGGCACTGGACCCGGTTCGTGAGCCCCGGTGGCCGGCCAGGCCACGTGGGCCATTGGTCCCGGTTCGTCTGGACCTTTTGGTCTCGGTTGGTGGGACGAACCGGGACCAATGGTCCTCGCTCCTGGCCCACCACTATTTGTCCCGGTTGGAGGCTTGAACCGGGACCGAAGGCTGCCCTTTAGTCCCGGTTTGTGCCTCGAACCGGGACCAATGATATGCCTATATATACCCCTCGCCCGCGAGCAGAGTCCCACTGCTCTGCTTTTCGTCACCGGCGAGGGGAGAGCTTTGTGGTGCTCTAGCTCACCTCCTATGCACACGAGGTGTTCGATGGAATGCCCGTGCCACACTACTTAAGCTTTCTCCTCTCCAAGCTTGATCTCCAAGCTCCATTTTCCTCAATATTTGTCTAGGTTTAGCGGTCAGTCCCGTCCCGTCCCCGTCTTCACCGCCGTCGATCGCCCGCGCCGATCTCGTCGCCGGCACCACCGTGGTGAGCCTCTTGTTCTTATCTTCTTTCTGAAAGGAAAAAAAATTCTTACTTGTATGTTTATATAGATACTTGTATAATTTTCTTACTTTTATTATTGCATCTTATATAGTGCGATGGTTTTGGTATCCGCCCCCGTCGGCCCTCGTCCTGTCTATGATTCGGATGTGGTATATATTATCTTTTCATAACTATTGGTTCATTTATTGTTTATGACAATTATGCCGACCAACGTGACATAGATTTTATTTATCTAGGAGGTTGTTGAACCGGAAATTCCAACCGACCCTATTGTCGAGAGGTTAAATTTAGTTGAAGAAGAAAACAAATTCTTGAAGGAAAACATTAGAAAAATTGAGGAGGAGAAGATGATATTGGAGTTGCATGTTGCGGATGTCGTCGATGATCACAAGATCAAGATGGATGCAATGCGCTTGAAGATTAGAAAGATTAGAAAATATGCCATTCATACCGAGGCTTGGTATCATTATGCCGTCGGATCAGTTGTTACATTGGTTGCGGTTATGTTCGCATTTGTTTTTGCATTGAAATGTTTTACATAGTTTCAGTGTATGGTTTAATTAATTTAGATGCTCTGCAGAGCTTTATGTTGTTAGATGAGAACTATGTATGTACTTTGGTTTTAATGTGATGATGAACTTCTATTAATTTGTTCACTTAATTATCTATTCATGATGTTCTGTAATGATTTTTGACACACTTAATTATATATAATGCACGCAGATGAACCGGCAATGGATGTACGGTTCAAGACACACCTCCGAGTACATTAAGGGCGTGCATGATTTTCTCGAAGTGGCTGAGGCAAACAAGCAAAATGGTTTTATGTGTTGTCCATGCCCTATATGTGGGAATACGAGGTCTTACTCTGACCGGAAAATCCTCCACACCCACCTACTTTACAAGGGTTTCATGCCACACTATAATGTTTGGACAAGGCACGGAGAAATAGGGGTTATAATGGAAGATGGCGAAGAAGAAGAGTACGATGACAACTATGTGCCCCCTGAATACGGTGATGCTACTGAACATCGAGAGGAACCAGACGATATGCACGATGATGCTGCAACGGGCGAAGCTGCTGAAGATCAAGAGGAACCAGACGATGTGCCCGATGATGATGATCTTCGCCGGGTCATTGTCGATGCAAGGACGCAAGTCGAAAGTCAAAAGGAGAAGCTGAAGTTCGATCGCATGTTAGAGGACCACAAAAAAGGGCTGTACCCCAATTGCGAAGATGGCAACACAAAGCTCGGTACCGTACTGGAATTGGTGCAGTGGAAGGCAGAGAATGCTGTGCCTCACAAAGGATTTGAGAAGGTACTGAAAATATTTAACAATAAGTTTCCGAAGGATAACGAATTGCCCGACAGTACATACACAGCAAAGAAGGTCCTATGCCCTCTAGGATTGGAGGTGCAGAAGATACATGCATGCCCTAATGACTGCATCCTCTACTGTGGTGCGTACAAGGATCTGAACGCATGTCCGGTATGCAGTGCATTACGGTATAAGATCAGACGAGATGACCCTGGTGATGTTGACGGCGAGCCCCCTAGGAAGAGGGTTCCTGCGAAGGTGATGTGGTATGCTCCTATAATACCATGGTTGAAATGTCTGTTCAGAAACGGAGAGCATGCCAAGTTGATGCGATGGCACAGTGAGGACCGTAAGAAAGATGGGAAGTTGAGAGCACCCGCTGACTTGTCGTAGTGGAGAAAAATCGAGAGAAAGTACTGGGATGAGTTTGCAAGTGAGCCAAGGAATGTATGGTTTGCTTTAAGCGCGGATGGCATTAATCCTTTCGGGGAGCAGAGCAGCAATCACAGCACCTGGCTCGTGACTCTATATATGTATAACCTTCCTCCTTGGATGTGCATGAAGCGGAAGTTCATTATGATGCCAGTTCTCATCCAAGGCCCTAAGCAACCCGGCAACGACATTGATGTGTACCTAAGGCCATTAGTTGAAGAACTTTTATAGCTGTGGAATGGAAACGGTGTACGTACGTGGGATGAGCACAAACAGGAGGAATTTTACCTAAAGGCGTTGCTGTTCGTGACCATCAACGATTGGCCCGCTCTCAGTAACCTTTCAGGACAGACAAACAAGGGATACCACGCATGCACACACTGTTTACTTGACACCGATAGTATATACCTGGCAAGCTGCAGGAAGAATGTGTACCTTGTCCATCGTCGATTTCTTCCGACCAACCATCAATGTCGAAAGAAAGGCAAGCATTTCAAAGGCGAGGCAGATCACCGGAAGAAGCCCGCCATGCGTACCGGTGATCACGTACTTGCTATGGTCAATGATTTACACTTAATCTTTGGAAAGGGTCCTGACGGACTAGCTGTTCCGAGTGACGCCGGGGGACACGCACCCATGTGGAAGAAGAAATCTATATTTTGGGACCTACCCTACTGGAAAGACCTAGAGGTCCGCTCTTCGATCGACGTGATGCACGTGACGAAGAACCTTTGCGTGAACCTGCTAGGCTTCTTGGGCGTGTATGGGAAGACAAAAGATACAACTGACGCACGGGAGGACCTGCCACGTTTGCACGAAAAAGACAACATGCCTCCAAAGCAGTATGAAGGTCCTGCCAGCTATGCTCTTACCAAAGAAGAGAAGGAAATCTTCTTTGAATGCCTGCTTAGTATGAAGGTCCCGACTGGCTTCTCGTCGAATATAAAAGGAATAATAAATATGGCAGAGAAAAAGTTTCAGAACCTAAAGTCTCATGACTGCCATGTGATTATGACGCAACTGCTTCCGGTTGCATTGAGGGGGCTTCTACCGGAAAACGTCCGATTAGCCATTGTGAAGCTATGTGCATTCCTCAATGCAATCTCTCAGAAGGTGATCGATCCAGAAATCATACCAAGGCTAAGGAGTGATGTGGTGTAATGTCTTGTAAGTTTCGAGCTGGTGTTCCCACCATCCTTCTTCAATATCATGACGCACGTCCTAGTTCATCTAGTTGACGAGATTGTCATTCTGGGCCCCGTGTTTCTACACAATATGTACCCCTTTGAGAGGTTCATGGGAGTCCTAAAGAAATATGTCCGTAACCGCGCTAGGCCAGAAGGAAGCATCTCCATGGGCCATCAAACAGAGGATGTCATCGGGTTTTGTGTTGACTTCATTCCTGGCCTTAAGAAAATAGGTCTCCCTCAATCGCGGTATGAGGGGAGACTGACTGGAAAAGGCA